TATACTTCTTTCATGTTTTTTTTTTAAAAATAATTAAAGTACATATAATTTTTTATAGTATATATAAGTATTTTTTTTTAAAAATTGGGGGCCCCTAAAAATATAAGGCCCAAAGCGATGGCTTTAATGACCTAGTGGTTAAAACGGCCCTGGAGGGAGAAGTCTTCCTATGAAGTAGGAGAGAATGAATTGTCTATGGGAATGTTGACAAGTGATCACAGTGAAACTCATTTAGGTGTTTGGGTTGTGAAAGAGTGTGAAATTAATAAATCTTGGATAAAGTTATTAACCATCAAGTATTCAAATGACCAATATGACTTGCATCCACTCCTTTTCATGACACAGGTGAAATGTTGTTTTTTGGTTCGATCAAAATTCAGGATATCCAATTGATCAAAAGATGACTCATTCAGATATCAAAATCTTACTAACCATGGAGGCAATCATGACGTGAAAACCTACCTTGAAAGTCTAGTTTGTCTTTTTTCAATAAGAGGTGTATGCAGGATGGGGTCAGGGTTCACGTGGCTCTTCTCCTCGAATCATATATAGTAGTCTTAAATATAGATGTGTGAACCCACACTAGATGTATTAAATAATGCAATGATGATTGGGTGCATCTCTCCGAGTGAGGTTAGAAATTTGGCTCTTACATCTATCTTGTTGTATTTTTCTTTCTAAAATTAGGTAACACTTCTCTAAGTGGTAATTGGTAGCACTTTATATATACATATAGCTTTAATCTTTCAAAATTTTCAAGCTTGTCACATTGGAAATTCCTAAATTTTTTTAGCATTGTATTTATTTTAGATAATTAAACCAACTGTGCATATTAAAACTAGAAATACTGGATGATATAACATAGGGCAGCATATCGATCGGTTCGATTTTGAAGTATATCGGTTTGACTTATTAGCTATCGATTTGTAGAGATGCAAAACCGTTATAGAACCATAAGATATTGGCTTATCGGTTATTGATCGTTATCGGTTCGGTTATCGGTTTAACCATTAACATTTGACAAAAAAATAAATTAATAAAAAAATCACTTAGAAACAGGGTGACAAATTGAATGAATCATGTACATGAGTTCACAAGTTGCATCTTGCTCAAAAACAAACACTTTTACATTGAAGAATAACCAAGATTATGATATAGCCAGAAATAAAAGTAGGAAACTAAACTCTAAGACAAGGACTTTATATACAAAATAGTATAAATATAATTATTTAATTTGCTATCGGGTTATCAGTTAACCCATTAAGAAAAAACCTCAAACTGTGAAAAATCGATAACCCGATAACAAAAAAAATCAAAACCGTTATCTAAACCACTAAATCAATAATCCATTACTGATAAACCAATAAAAAAATTTCGATTCGGATTATCGATTTCGGTTCGATTTTGAACAACCCTAATATAACATACAATACATGTGTTCAGTAGATCGCAATACCTCTGGCGCTATATATATATATATATACACACACTATTTGAATAGATAAGAACTAATTTTGGACCTATAATTTTAACATTTTTTAGTGATAAGAACCTAAAATGTCAAATCGATCAAACTTATCTCTTAAATCCATCAGTTCGTAAAAGTGCACCCATCATGTCAAAATCTTGGATACGCCTCTGTTTTCAACGGAAGGGACAGAGAATCCATCGAAAGAAAGGAAGAAAAAACTTGAGATCAAAACAATCGAGTAGCAAATAAATTGTAAGAGTAATTGAAACAACACCCCATAATAAGAATAACACAATTGTCATCTCCAAACCATGGAGGTAGTACTACTAGTTAAATCACTTCTTACATAACTAAACCTTTTTCTGTATGTACATATAAGCTCAATTGAACAATGCTTGGTATTGAAAAATCACATTGCTATTACTCATAAAAAAAAAAAACAAGAAATATATAGCAACACAAAATGTAAAGAGAGTGTAGATTTGTGTGGGAAACAATAAAGGCCCAGAGCTTCACACACAAATATATTTCTTTCAACCTGCATTGCTGTTTGACAGAGAGCGCCATGGAGGAGCGACATGTAGGGGTGGCAAAATCAAATCCGACCCAACTCATATAAAATTGGGTTGATATCTAACCGAATTGATTTTTGAGAAATTTTGTCAAAAATATTTTTTTTAAAAACCTTTTTTTGATATTAAATGTTATATATAATTATAATAAAGAAAAAAAAAATTATTAGGTAATAAAAGCTTATAAAATAACACATAAAGCTATTAAAACTTTAGTAAAAATTGGGCAGGTTGGGTAATGACCCGTTTTGACCCAACCCATTTTGATCCAAACAAATTTGGGTTGGGTTTGGTCTTGACTCATTTTGACCCGCTCAATTGTCACCCCCGGCGACATGGAAGAATTTTTCTCAAAAGAACAATTTATATGCTTCAAAAAAATCTACTAGACCAACACGCAGCCACTTCCCTTATAGTAATTCCTCTAAGAAAGTAGTATCCAACTCAAGAATGGAAGAAACAAGATAAGTAAATGTTGTGCATCTTCAAATACAACAATGTGGCAAATGCAGTAAGACAAGCAAAAGATAACCTGATTGAGAACATAGCCAATCTCTTTCTTTTCCAAACTCTTGTGGTTTGTCATTCACAACCTTTTCGACGTCTAATCTGCAAAACAAGTTCAAAGCTTGAGAGTTGAAAAACTAAGTACATATATAACCCCCCTCGCTAAATTCAGAAATCCCCGGCTCCTTATACTAATTAGTAACGTAATGCATTGCCTGTGATACACTCAACTTAAACAGAGTCCTTGAGTAAAAGTTATTGAGCACCGAATATTCACACGGTATCTACAGCCTTTTTTTGGTGTTGTAAAAGTTTAGCAGCAGATACTACTAGCATCAAAAGCACCTATATTGATATTAATTTGGTGCATATCGACACAGTTTCTAATGACCTATACCTCTGTCTCACTGCCAGCAGAGATAAACGAAGAGATTAAAATATCACTTTGGCCTACTGAATTACACACCTTTTATTTTTTTGGGTCGCAGATTTTTCTTGCTTATAGCAGAGACATAGAATAGCTAGTCACTTGTCCATCAAATGCGATTTGACTGATTCACTACATGAAAAGTGAATCATGACAAAACCGCCTCTTTCATGGAGACTTTTGTTAACACGAAACCATATCTTCAAACTCCCTATGATTCTGAATAAATAAGAAACTAAAGAAGATTGTTTATTTTGATTATACATTGCAATTTGTTCCTGAATAGATGTGATTATCTATTATGCTGAAATATGATTTTCTTTGACAAGGTACGTTATTCTATTAATGTTGGGGAAATCTCCGTAAGTATACCAAACAGTAGAGAAACTTAGCCACATATATTTCTCTATAATGCGGGAATACAGTTATGGAAAGCTAAAAGAAGATCAGCGACAAAGAACACATAATAAACTCGACTTAAGAAATAACTTGACCTCCAGAAACAATATACACAGTACTCAAGGGTATGGTCTAGTGATCAACGAAATCACTTGAAGTGGGTTGGGAACCATGAGGTCTCATATTCAAATCCCAACGTAGACCAAAAAAATACTTGGTGAACAAAGTTACCTGGTACTTGTTGTTGGTTAGAAACTTACAAGTGGCAAGTATCACATGGAATCAGTCAAGGAGCACGAAAGCTAGCCCGGACACAGCTGTCGCCAAAATGAAAATTATATACACAAGTAAAATAGGCAATGAACAATGATATCGACCTAATGGAAAGATATACTTAACAATCTACCCACACACCTTCTGGGTTCAACTAATTTGAAATCCATACACTTGCAAGAAATAATACTATCATTTTCAGACATAACTAATGTAATGTTGTGACACACATGGTTAACATCAAATCTTTCCATAACGATTTTGAATAGATTTCAAGTTCTCACACTCTTGTTGTCGTATGAACTCGGCCCAAGAAATAACTAGACTGCCAGAAATGATTTATCCACAAATGGAATAAGCAAAGAAAAACTATTTCAGTCTAAGAAACAAATACTCAACAATCTGTCCAAGCTCCTTGTAGATTCAATTATTAGAAATTCATTTGCAAGCATAAACTCTAAGAGTCACTCTCATGATTAACATCAAAACATTCAGTGCGCATTCCAATGAATTCCAGCTTTTCTATATTCTATTGTTGATTGACTTCCTTACGTTTGCAATTATGTGGCTCACAATAAATGGATTTGAAATTTGTACTACTGTCAAGTTCACATATAAACAATGGAGTATTCTAGGTGAAAATTCTCATTCTCCTAGGAGTATTTGAAATTAGCTAATCCAAATTGAAGTCTTGCTTCTTTTACATATGACACATAATGAATAAAAGAACAAACATTTAGCAACTGGTTTTGCCCAAACAACTTCTTTACATTCATTCCGATGCCATCATAATGATTAAACCCAGACAGTGAAGTGGAAATCACGCAATGCTTATAACTTGTTCAAAGTTCAAACATTTCCTTTTATTTCTAAAACAGGATGCATATCTCAGAACGAACCCTTCTATCTCGGGATGAAGCCTAAAAGTCTCTTCAAGAAAAATGCAAAATAGATTTTAAAGGTCTGAGTGGTTTCAGTTGTGAGGTAGCTTGTCCTACATGACTTATTTTTGCTTCTCTCCACTCAAACTAATTACAACAAATCCCTTTGCTCGGTTAGAGCTTTATGTTCTAGTTGCCAAACAGAACCTTACACCTTTTGTAATAACCCCTTTGTATTCATGTAAGATAAAGTGTAAGAAGAAGCATGTAATAGACTACTACATTGCACCATCTAACGATGAGCAGCAAATAGACAAACAAACCTAGTCCAGAAGCAATATAGTTTAAAGAGATCTTTCACATGCGCATAAATAACAAACAGAATTTGAAAGCAGTTGAGAAGAAAGTGCTCTTACAAGTTATTTGTTACTCGATTGTTTTGATATGAGCTTTCTGCCTTTCTCCACACTCTATGTCCCTTGGGTTGAAAAAGGGCAAACTAGTCTTTCAAGGTAGAATTGGGCATATTTACCGTAATGACAGTTAATAACATCTGAATATCTGAATGAGTCATCTTTTGAATTGTATATTATGGAAGTTGTTCCAGACAACGACAATATTTCACCATTATTTGACATGAAAAAGTTTGGTAACCATTCTGGATCATTTGGATACCTGATGGTAAACATCTTTGTCCAAGATTCTTTAACCCCATACTCTTTCATAACCCAAGCACCTATATGAGTTGTCTTGTAATCGCTAAAGACAGAAAGATCACTTCTCAACTTTCGCACACGCAATTCAACCTCTCCTTCTCCAAAGGAGGGCTTCTCCACCTTTTCCCAGTTCTCATTAGCTAAATCAAAAGCAATAATGTACTTACCTTTATGCACATTAGGATCAGGACCAGGAATAGAAGTAGAAGTACTCCAATGAAGCTTCCCATCCACAAAAGAACCATTATCAATTAATGTCTCTCCGCAATAACCAGAACTTTTTTTGACAAAGAATGTGTCCTCATCACAATAATCAACATTAGTCCAAGAATCACTCTTTAGACTATATACTTTTACCTCAATTTCATCTCTACTGAAAATACTATAATTATAATCAATAATCACTACCTTATAATCATCATGAAGCTCATCATATCCAAAACCAAACATGGGCCCGGGATTTCTCACTCTAGGTCTAAAAAAAGGCAAATTCTTGTGCTTTCTATATAGTTGGGTTCCATAAAAGAGAATAATCTAAGTAATTATCGGCAAGATAAACCAATCCATTGCAAGAACCCTTAACATAGAGCCCATGAATGCCGTTTTCAATGGGAAAATCTAATTCAACAGCCACAGTAACAGAGTCATAAAATAAAGATTTAATAGGACATTCTTTATAATTCCATTTCTCTACAGCAACATCCAAAATAAGTATATGGTGGGGGTCTTCCTTGTTATTATTAGCAGATAAATTCAGATGGTTCTTTATAAATTCAGGGTCAGAGGTTAAAGAAAGCCAATATTTTGAAACAGACATGAATTTCAAGAGGGATTTCACCGGAAGCCTCGAGAATTTCACCAATGAGTTCTACTGGCAAAATAGGAATTGTCATATTCGAATTTGATGGAACATTGGAGGCTTCACATTCCATTTAAAGGGTTTTGGGAGATAAATTTCAGCAGTATCTACAATACAAATGCAGAAAAATTTATGGTGGGAGATTACTTTTTATATAAGAAAGAAAAATAGAGAAAAAATTATAGGATGAAAAATAAGATATCTACTAGATAAAAATTTAAATAGTCAATCAATTAAATTCTTAAATTCCTTATTTAATATATGTAAAGTATAAATCAATTTTTTATGTAATTATATATAATCCAATTATGTTCTTATATTCTTTCGAGACGCGAGGCATATTTGTCGGGCGATTTTATGCTCCTCTTTGTATTTTCTTGAATACGTCGACAGTCACGTCTGTCTTTTGAATTTCATAGCTTAGGTGAAGTACTATACTAACTTATTATGCTCCTTAATATTTTTAATTTTTTTAAATAAAAAATATGTAGTTTAAAATAAATAATGTTTTAGTTGATCGTTTATTTGGTGGGATAAAGATAATAATTTTTTAAAAATAAAAGTGGGATTAATTTCTAGCTCAAATTTAATTCGAAATATTAGCTAATTGTGAGGGTATTTTCTTTCACCATTTATAGTAAAATAGTGAAGTACTATCCTATATAGATGATACAGAAGATGAGATAAAATAATCTCATAAAATATTTCATCATGTATGCAAAAAAGACAGTTATTTTCTATTATATTAGTATTTTCTATTATGTTAGATATATTAGATTGGCATTAGTTAGTGATTCCGACTTAGTGAGTCCTTTCTTTCATGATGAATTATTGACATCAGTCCAATATTTAATCTTCATGGACCTAGGAGAAAAGGCGCTTTGCAGGAAGAGGACTAGTGTACCATGAGAGAAGCAAGGATGTCAGCCTTTTTCAAATATACAACATGAATTCTGGCAATGTAGTTGGACTCTTATGTCGATCTGAATAATTTCACTGAGGTAAATCTTTGTTTGCTAGGCAAGAGAATGCAAGTTCCAAATTCTGCCTCGATAGGACATGTATTTATATTACTATGAAATTCATAAATGAAGTAGTCAATGGTACGGTTACCATTGTAGTTGGACAAATCTTGTATGTGTTCCTAAGAAAAGGAATTTGTCCAGTTTTCGGAGTCTCAAAGGGGAGTGAAAATGCATAAGAACTCTTGAATGGAAAAGAGATGTAATTCCTTATATATATATATATATATATATAATATAATTTTTATATAAGAATATGTGTTTAAGTATTATTTGCTAAAATTATCTTTTAAGTATTGACTTATTATATTGATTACAAATTTATTTGTATTAACATAAACAAGAATTGACTCATAATTTTCAAAATCAATTAAGTCAAAATTTGAACTTGCTTGTGTGGAAGGATCTCCAATCGATATTATTTCTTCAAGTTTTTCCTCTTCTCCCGTATCTTATAGTCTTTTGTTATTTATTTGATCTGATCTAATTTAATTTCTTAGGCAAATTAGAGCAGTCGTGACATTTCTCTTCAATGAGTGTCGATCATCTCTGATCAGTTGTCTTTCTTAACTAAATGTGGTCTCAAATGCAAAAGTTGACATAGGAATATTTAACATACTTCTAGCCATGATTTAAAGTACTGGATATTTGTGTTTTGTTGTTTTTTCACCAATTTAGTGTGCTAACATTATTTTGATAGAACTCTAGGTTTGTCTCACATAATAATTAAGCTCGTCTCGATTTACGCTCTTCTATGATGTAACTTATATTCTATTCCAGACAAGTAAATTAGTAACAAAATAGCAGACATATTGTGTGCCTGCTTTTAGAAAGAACGGTATGAGTAGGTATATCATTGTCATGTAAAGTGTGACATAATGATTATATAATATTTGGATGTGATCATTCATATCATTTATTGTCTCAAATATACTAGGTACTTCATAATTTTAAATTTCTAAATAACTACTCCTATATATAATGCGAATCAATTCAGACATAGTGGCAAATTTCATACACATATTTAACATAGCATCAATCAAATAAATAGAGGGGGAAAAAAACATTTTTTTAAAATTTTCAATCATTTCAGTAACACCCTCTTTGTAATATACTTTAAGTTTATATTCACTAACCAATAAACAAAGGTCAGCTTATATAAGTTAAAATATTTTGCAATGTATCAAACAACCAAAAAATGTATCTGAGAGCAATGAAAAATTTAGAAGTTTTGTATTTGGACAAACTTTCGGGATAGAATGTAATTAGCCCCCCTAATTTATGAAATTTCTGCAATTTATACTTACAATAATTTTTTGGGGGCATTCTGGGCCACACTTCAGAAAGTAGTCGTTGGCTCAACGGTCATATTTATGGGGAAAAAATCTTATCGGACCGATTAGGAATGATGGACCACTTATAGGCCGGTCTACTAGGCTAAGAAGGCCATACGGCCCAACAAAGGACCAGACCAGTAACTTAATGGGTCAGTGATCGGTCCGATCAAATTGGTGTCAGACCCTTAATGAATTGACTTATCGAACCGGAATCAGATCAAGCCGATTCAATTGACGAGTTTAATTTATAGAGCACCATTGAAGTGATCATAAAATTGACCACCTAACCACCCAAAGGGAATGACATCCACTTTCTTGTCTTATTAAATTTTGATCGAGAAGTTGTTTCTACAAATGCAAGAAAAAATTTAACGATTAAAAAAGAGTAAAAGCAAATTACTTTGAAGCTTCAAACTCAACACCTTTTATTGAATATTTCTTAATAATATATATAAATTTAGTTTTTATTTTTAAATTTATTATTTTCTAAGTCATATTTTCAGGTTAAATTTATTTTTAAAAGACATATATATTTAGAATTCCATTTAAACAAAAAAATTATTTGGCTACACACAATGCAGTTACGCCCAAAGATTTTTTCAAACATATTTTGGCCAAAACGATACACATCCAGTTGAAACAGATTGTCATTGCATCTAAGGATGAAATAAAATAAATTGTGCCATTAAAATAATTTCATCATTTTCTTATAAAACAAACATAAAGTTTATGTAGAATGGCCAAAACGATACACATCCAGTTGAAACAAATTGTCATTGCATCTAAGGATGAAATAAAATAAATTGTGCCATTAAAATAATTTCATCATTTTCTTATAAAACAAACATAAAGTTTATGTAGAATGGCCAAAACGATACACATCCAGTTGAAACAAATTGTCATTGCATCTAAGGATGAAATAAAATAAATTGTGCCATTAAAATAATTTCATCATTTTCTTATAAAACAAACATAAAGTTTATGTAGAATTAGGGATGGTAATGGGTCGGGCGGCTGCGGGGCAGACGGGTTTAAGGTTGCGCGGGACGGGAGGGATGCGGGGCGGGTTAAAGTTGGATCTTTTTAAAACTAATGCGGGGCGGGTTGCGGGTTGCGGGTATATGCGATTTTATATGGGTTCAAACTTAATTTTAAATTTTTACATGTTATAAGAGTGATAGACATTATTTATTAAGATAGTTTTTTAAAGCTACTAAAATATGCAAGATAGTAAATGAAAATAGTTCAATAAAAAATAATCAATTTCTTACATATTTTTCAATTGACCTCTAAAAAATAAACTTTTAAATCATTATCTATTAAATTAATATAAGAGATAAAGCATAAGTACCCCCTAGACTATGACGGAAATCCAGAGACACACTTAAACTTAACTAGGATCCTATTACCCCCTAAACTAATTTAAAATGGAATAAATACACCACAAACGTTGACATGGCATAGAGAGTGTGCACACTCTCTTGAAGGCAAGTGATGAGTCCATTAATTGGACAGATGTCATTTTTTGACCGGTAACTTTATAATTAGTTAGTACACACATTTATTGATAATAAAGCTTATATATATATTTAATTATTTTTATTTCTTTCTTTGTTAAATATTTATTTTAATTTCTTTTCACTTTAAACTTTTTTTGATTAATTTATTATCTTTTCACTTTTAATTATTTTTTAAAAATCATGTGTATTTTTTTAAAATAAATTTAAAAGTGTCCTTTAATTTTGACGTTTTAATTTTTTATGCTTTATTTGATTTTCTTCACTTATTTTGATATCTGTTCAAAATTAACTTATTTTAAATACAAGACATTTGAAATCAAATCAAAACGAAAGACAAAGAAAATAAAAGAGAAAAAATAATGAATGTAGGTAAAAAAAAAAAAGTTTCAATACAAGGTTAAAAAAAATGTGTATTAACTTAATTTAAATATAAGATAAACAAATAAGAATATTTTTCAAAAAAAATGAAAAAATTAATTTTTAATTAAAAAAAAACAATATTTACATCTGTGGCGGGTGAGTGTGTACAAACACAACCAACTTGGGTGGTTGAAGGTGTCACATCAGCACATAAGGTGCACAAAAATATGAAAAAATGAGTTTAGGGGGTAATAGGATCTTAGTTGCGTTTAAGTGTGTCTCTAGGATTTCGATCATAGTCTAGGGGGGTACTTATGCCTTATCCCTTAATATAACTTGATGAAAAAATAAA